GTTGGGCGTTGGTGCGAATGAACCCAGTCATTTTTCTAAGGTGATAAAACAGAAAATCCCTTCGCTCACACACGCAGCGATCAACTACTCGTAATGACTCTGTAAGCGAATCTTCAACAGCTCTATCTTCTTAGCCTCCATTTCCTTTAACACTTGTTCCTGAGTTGACGGTATACATTTGAGTATATATAAACATAGTAAAACGGAGAAGGATAGGAACAGGAAAATTGCAAATTGTAATTTACAATGGTATATCTATTGGAGTTTCACAACCCGTTTTACGTGAGGTGGCGTAAAACCCTGTGAAAAACGCGTTATTCACGGTGATATGCAGCAGTCGTGAAATATATTTTTCATATCACAAGGGTGAAACTCCATCCATAGTAACGTAGCTATATATACATCAACAAAATCTGGTATAATCAATAACAAAAAATATATATATCGCCAGCCAACCTCGACTTCGTCGCCTCCTCCTACTACCAAGCGCTCTCGATCTTGTTTCCTTCTCTCCTCCCATTCAAGACGTCTTATTTCTCTCAAGTTGTTGCGTTGTCGAGCCAATTTAGCTTCAACTCTTTGGGCACATTCCTCTTGACCTGAGCCCAACAATTACCGCGCGCCACGAAATTGCCGCCTCCATTTACGTTGAGTTGCATCCCTCTTCCTATCACTTTCTAACCTCTGCTTCGCACTGCCGAGGTAACCGAGAAGGTTACCAAACATCCTCCTATTCCTCTTCATGCTCTCGCGTATCTAAAAATATCACATCAAAAACTCGATGATTAATTTTCCGATTAAAAAAACCAAACGATCAAAACCACTCACAGTTCACTTCACAATTTCACTAAAAAACTTCACCACAAATTCCAAACTTTTTCACACCCCGAATTCACAATATAATGTCCTTCAAAAATCTATTCGGCGGTTGAGACCATCAGTTCAGCCCGTCAACTCAGTGATAGGGAAACGAGTATTAATACCTGTGGGCTAGCCTCCGAGAACCCTCCAAGTTCGCTCTTTATAAACCTCGCTTTCGCCTCCTTCTCTCGCTGCTCCTCCGTTAGCTCCTCAGATTGCCGAGGTTGCGATTCTCTCCCAGCCCGACCATCTGATCACACCAAAAACCATCACGCGGCACGAAATTTCATTAACCCCACCAGCTGTAGCGGCTTCTCCCGAATCTCCTCCTCCTCCCTCATCGTCTTGATCATAGTCTACGATTCCTCCCACTTCATTCGAGTCCACTGGCGGTGGTTTAGTCTCAGCCAGCCTCTCTTGAATGCGAGCACTGACCGGCGCGAAAGTGCCCGCCCTGGGGTTCGAACCCGAGACCTCTCGCTTACTGCTCTTCCATCAGTTTGTCCATCTCCTTACTCAAAGTACGTTCATCTCCTTTCCCTCCTTCCTTCCCTTTAACCGGCGACCTCGATGACAAGGCGTCTTTATGAACCCGACCCGTCGTTGCAGTTGACATCACTTCTATAAGGGGATTCTCCTCGAAAATATAAACAACAGCAACCGATGATGCTGACAGATATTGGAAATCGTCAGCAGTGTCGGAAAGTATGTTTGCCTCTCTTCAGATTAGTTCAAGGGAATTTCCTCACTAAGTATAGCAGTTCATATGCAAATTCGGATAGGAGTATACAGAAACCAATAAGAATTTCCCGAGATTTCCTCCCAGAACTCTCATACTGTCACCAACACATGCATATTCTCATGAGACACGCCAACAAAACAACCAATCATTATCCAGGAAAAGTACTCAACAGGTCATGTACACGTGCCGACTATCGGAAGACCCCGCGTTCGATCCCCAAGACCAACCACCTCATAGCATCTTCAAGTGACATATCTTCTCACAAGGGGCGATGATAGTGTGTCGTAGATGCCTGAGATCATCACCACCCTAAACTCACATGTGGATGAAAACACCCCTCATAACATCCGTTGAGACCAACAAGACCACATAAACATCCCAAGACGATGGCAACAGACAATCGATTGTGACTAACGACGAACAACTACTTTCGATCTCAACAACTCCATCGCACCGAAATCTAGCAAGAACAAGGCGGGCATTTCACACTGGCATTTGCCAAGTGGCATCAGCCCACCGGCTTTCCGCGCTTTCAACAACAGCAACAACAACGACAACAACAACAACAACAACAACAACAACAATAACAACAACAACAACAACAACAACAACAACAACAACAATACCAACAAGAACAACAACAATACCAACAAGAACAAGAACAACAACACTCGAGATGCATCGAAATCTCCGACCACCTAGCTATGCAACTCCGAATAAATTCGGCCGCCTTGTGAGCACCATCAGCATCCATCACGGCTGAGGGAGTACTAGAAGACCAATTATGACCGATCCTCTTGATAGCAGCCCACGATGCATCGTGAAGGCGATGCACCTCAACAACAAAGACATTTTCGAAACCGTCAAACTACCTCGAAATTTCGCTTCCGTTAACATTACACTAGATCTACTAGCAGCGTAAAATATTTCCCACAGTTGCTGAGCACTAGAACCAAGTCAGTACAGTGCCATCCGATCACCGGAACACAGATCTTATCCGAGATCACGACTACGATAGGAATGCACCAGACAATAGCAACTTCTCTTCCTCAACCGAAATTCTCAACACGCAGTTTTCCAAAAGGGAAAAAGAGGCCGCTCATGCCATGTAAGGCTAAGTTCACACGGTTAACTCTTCTACACGGCTTGAAATAATTTTCCACATATCTCCTGCTCAAGAACCTACCTCAGCTGCCATGCGACAGCTCTCGACAGCCTCTTTAACGCTCGGGAATAGGGCGTGATCATGAAGATGCCAATCGATGCATTGCCGGCAGTCTGGACTCAACGATAACATAGCGGATATTACCAACTACAGAGATCAACTACCGCGCGCCACGAAATTGTACCCACACCTCACAATTGGACCGCCGAGGGAAACAGGACTACGAAAAACGGATAAGACTAAAAAAGTGACTCTCTATGCGGGAAAACTGCGTCACTCGCCACAAAATTGCTCCCATGCTTCAGCCAACTTATGAATACCACTGCGGATCTCCGGTTCGGTGTAAAAGGCGAAGGAGAGTCTAATGCAGTCGTGACCACAACTCCCATCCACTGAAGTTCGAGCACCTGTAATAATTAATATTCCCATAGCAAATTGAGACGCGACAGTTCACCAGGTAGAAATCCAACGCCTTTATCTCTGCAGAATTCGAGGAACTCCGTGGTATCTTTCCCAGCTGGCAATCTGAGAAAAAACACATCGCCAGGGATAGAACCAGGGTCATGGGATAGACATCCCGATGCTCTACCACTACACTAAACTTCCTACTACTTTTTAAACTTCAACCAGAGGAAGTAACCTCCATTCGGCTTATGAAACGTCACATAATCAGACATCTCCTCCTCCAAAGCAGCCACCATCGCCGCCAACCGCGATCCATATATCCTTCTCAGATCATCCTAAAACATCCTAGAAATACTACCCGAGTTCGGTCCCTGCTCTAAACCAGAAATGTTGCTAGACGCCTTCAGCGTATGTGTTATAGACTTGAAATAATAAAAACGCCTAAAGTTTCACATTGGAGTCTCACCCTAGTGATATGAAAAACATATTTCACGACTACTGCAAGACGCAAATATCGCGTTTTTCACGGAGTTTTACGCCACTTCACGTAAAACGGCTTAAACTCCATTGTAATTTTACTTCTGCAGTGAACGGCTACTCAACCAGACATCACGTACCAAAAAAGCATCATATCTTCGAAAGCATACCATCAACTCCTAACATCATCCCCAGTCCCCACACTACCAAATGTTCTTCTAATCGTCCACTCCTCATCAATTCCGTCACAGCCTCGACCAGAACGGGAGGCGGCCCACCACCGCTAACTGAAAGCTCTCCATTACTTTCAAACTGTCAAGATGAACTTTCTCACGCAAAACTCCGCTCGACAAAATCTTGGGGATGTTTTCCGGATGCGTATGATACCACCCCAGCCGCAAACCGGGCGCCAGAATCTGAAAATTTGCGAGGAAAAAACCCGAAATCCTGCAATTTCCTGCAATTTCTTCCAATCCCCTACCATGGAATAAAAATTTGCATATGTTTTATTTTGAGTATATGAAATTTGATAAACATGCATCGCTTCGCTCCGCCTCACCTTAGAAAACGATCCACACACCACACAGTGTCTCATCCAATCATCCTTCATACCAGCCACCTGCATCAGCGATCGAATGCCTCCCTGCGCTGACCTAAAAACCATAACTAAATCATCTTAATTCCGACAATCAGCACTCACTTCGAAACGTCTTCATAGTGCAGTAGACCGTAGGGTTCATCAGAGATAACCTGAAGAAAAATTTCGCGCGCCACAAAATTACCCAAACTAATTATGAACCATGGAATCAATTCATTCAGTGATTGAGGGAAAAATCGATTAAAATTTCCGCGAAAAAACTCACATCTGTGGCCAGCTCGAAATCATTAACGCTGAATTCAGAATCCAAACACTATGCGGTGAGAAAATACACACATCATCAACTACGTGCGTCGATGACTATGGAAATTCTGCAAATTCTTTTCCGTAACTTTCCGTGACTTTCCGTAACTTTTCCGAAACTTTCCGGGCTTCCCGTAAACTCCTACTCTAATACCAAACTCACCAGAAAATCATATTTCACCGCAAGCTCCATCACCGCCTTCTGCCGACCAACACTCATCACCGTTCCCTGTGGGTTGTGATGCACAGGTACTAACAATACAATCCATCACAATATTTAATGCCGTTATTACTCGTATATAACGCGGAAACCTTTTCTCTCCTCAGGATGCTCTCGAGCTCGTCCGGGATAAGGCCTTCCTCATCTATTGGCACTGGAATCAGCGAGGCACCTATCAACGCTCGTGCATAGTAGCGTATTTTTTTCTGATCAAATTCGAGAAAAAAATCAATTTTTCTCGTTTTTCTGAGCTCCCACATGGCTCAGTGTACGCCACCCAGAATGTCACCAAATTTCCTCATTGTCACCAAACCCCTGCACTACCAACTTCCTTGAAAATGTTTCCCGCCAAAAAATAGGTATTATTTTCCACCAACACGACCGATCCTGAAAGACTCCATCCCTTACCACAATTCATCGTCAACATCACTACTACCAGGGCCTCCCACGACGCCCTTCGCGAGAATACTAAGTGCCGCGGAAATTCCCGAGGTAAGAACAAGGTGATCAGGCTGAACGGCTGTGCTGTAGGAGCTCGATAGCATCTGAGAAGAAAGATTCACAATAGGCCCAGTAAGATGACTGCGAAGTTTGACGTGTTATCAAACAATGGATTTTCATCACCCTAGTGATATGGAAAACACTAGAGAAAAACATATTTCCCGACTACTGCATATGTTTTTCCCCGAGTTTTACGCCACTTCACGTAAAACGGGTTGTGAAACTCCACTGTATAATACATTATTACGTTATATTACATACGAAAATAGTAAAATTAACGGTATAGTGATTGAATATTCATTAAATATTATGATCATTTCTATGAAAGCTTTCTATAAGATATCATAAACTGTACTAATTACCTTATAGGAATAACTACATGTATTAGTAATACCACAATAAATACCATCTAATGGAGTTTCGCTACCCGTTTTTACGTGAAGTGGTGTAAAACTCCGTGAAAAACGCGATATTCACACTACGCAGTAGTCGTGAAATATGTTTTTCATATCACTAGGGTGGTGAAACTCCAATATAATAATAATTATGGTAATAATATTGACCATTTATTATCACGGTTATGGTGCGGTGGAAATATCTTAGGTTCCTCCTAGGAAGATACACATGAGGTCCATGTGCAAAACAAGGATCGTCTCGAAGTGTAATTGGTTTATGCAACTCGAGCTACTACAAATGAATTCGGGAGAGTAGACAAGAAATATGATATCACTGGACAATGACGATTCAACACGGTATCAGAAAATTTCAGGAAAAAAACCATTTTTCGAGTTTACAAAAATTTACATCTTTTTCACCGACATCAAACCTCAATTGTTTACATCGCATCGACACAACTCTCAATACTTGGTAAAATGGTAAATCAAATCCTCTACTTACAATTTTTTCACGAAAAAAATCAGATTTTTTTCCGGAAAAAAATTTTTCGGCTCACCTTAGCCAAGGCTTCGCGGAATTTGAGAGGCCCCTGGGTAGTCGCGTATTGGTACATACACCAATCTTCAACTGCTGCGGCACATCCTACTTCTATCGCTTCCTTGAGGATCTTAGTAGGCACTACAGCTGAATTGGAAAAGTTGATTTTTTCAAAAATCGGAAAATAACAAATGATTACCGTCAGAAGGCTGTCCGATAGCAAAGTTGATTCGATTGGCCGAGACTTTAGTTTGGCAGAAGTCGCTGAGTTGGACTGTGGGCTGCATTAGGGGGAAAAAGGAGGCGAAGCGGCGCGTAGTGAGGAAGGACAGGGAAAAACTGAGGTATCCTTTTTATGAAAAATATATATTTTTCGAAATTTGTTATTTCCGACTTGTCAATGGACGACGTATATATGAAAAACATATTTCACGACTACTGCATATCGCCTAGTTTTTCACCGAGTTTTACGACGCCACTTCACGTAAAACGGTTTGTGAAACTCCATTGAGAATCATCTATTATCATTATACTCCTCTGAAGATATACTACTAATCATATTAATAGTGAAGGTATTTATAATATAGATATCCTCTTAAGTCTCATTCAGTCAGCAACCATAACTTTTCCAACTCCCGGGGGGGGGAATGGCTAGGAACATAGTCTTCAATCAGTTTCCCATGTAAACTATAAACATTGTCCCAGTTGTTATCAAATCCTGGGAGACGTTATTTCTCAAAAGTGTGGGGAAATATGAACATGTGTCGGTGATAAAACGGAAATTCTGAGGAATTTTTTTGGTGAAAATTCTTGTTGATTTCTGTGTACACTTCTACCCAAATTTCCAGCTGAGCCCAGGTGAGAAAAGCGAACATATATTCCTCCAACACTGCTATAGACTAAAACGAAACACCATAGAGAGGAGGAAGAAGGGTAACTGAGGAAGCGATGGAGATGATGTGAGCGAAGAATGGTATTACCTTTTTTTATAGGCCGCCACGTAGTTGAAGGACCATGTGGATGGTCGACCCGGGTTTTACATTGTAGTCGGATAACTTGCAATCATCACTCATCTGCTTGCCGGAATAGATTAGCCTAATCTGTTCCACCTGAGAAAATGGCACTCATTTGGGCCTATTTTGTATCTTGCACGCTCAACCTCAAGATATCCCAAGATACCTGTATTCCTTCCCTCTCTTGTAAGGCTTCCTTCACGTGCCTTACTGTATTATCCGGCTCGAAATTGAAGTTGCTTTTTCGTCCAGTCAGCGTCTTTATGAAAATTTGCATTATTACGGAAGAATACAATCAACACTACCTGTTGAATTGTGAACACCACAATCTACCGTTCTCGAAAAACGACAAACATAAATCGCTTCGCTCCGCTAGAAAACAGCCGCGCGCGCCCGATGACTTGGTGTTTTTTCTTTCATCGGTTGGCGTCACTATGGCGAGCAGGGCAGCGGTCATTACTCGTCGACTTATGTCAACTTCGACATCTGGTAAGATACCAGTAGCTTCCTCACAGGAACAGATCGACTTGTTGCATAAATCTAAAGTTATTCAAGTGAGACTACTACTACTACTACTACTACTACTACTACTACTACTACTACTACTACTACTACTACTACTACTACTACTACTACTACTACTACTACTATCATTGCTACTACTACTACTACTACTACTACTACTATCATTGCTACTACTACTACTACTACTACTACTATCATTGCTACTACTACTACTACTACTACTACTATCATTGCTACTACTACTACTACTACTACTACTACTACTACTATCATTGCTACTACTACTACTACTACTACTACTACTACTACTACTACTACTACTACTATCATTGCTACTACTACTACTACTACTACTACTACTACTACTACTACTACTACTACTACTACTACTACTACTACTACTACTACTACTATTATGTCAGGTATCCACCGATGATAAGGCTATTGGTCCTCTATCTAAGCTCGAGTCACACTTATGGGCCAACATCTCCAATAAAAGTACGCTATATTGTACTTTCATTTAGTAGATTCTACTATAATAAGTCGATTTACTCTTACCGCTAATATTGCGACGATTTACTATCACCATTACTACTAATGTGACGATTTACTATCACCATTACTACTAATGTGACGATTTACTATCACCATTACTACTAATGTGACGATTTACTATCACCATTACTACTAATGTGACGATTTACTATCACCATTACTACTAATGTGACGATTTACTATCACCATTACTACTAATGTGACGATTTACTATCACTACTAGCAACGTCGAATCCCATTCAGATCTCTACCACAGAGCATTCTCAGTGCTGTTGTTCGAGAAGAGTACCGGGTCGATGTTGATACAGAAGAGGGCGGCTAATAAGGTGAGTACCATTCCTACGACAACTCGCATCCTATGTTTCACCTACAGATTACTTATCCCTCCATGTGGGCTAATGCTTGTTGTAGCCATCCCGAGTATAACGATGATGAAAACACTGTAGGGAATTTCCCGGACATAATTTTGAAATATTTTGTATCTTCTCAGGAGCCTCCGACACAAGGAGTTGTTGCGGCCGCGTATAGGCGACTCGAACAAGAGTTGGGCATCAAAAAGGATGAGGTTTGTTGGAAGAAAATATGCACATGGTCAACTACATGTGTTGGTGATGACAATATGAACATCGTTTCTGTACACTTCTACCCGAATTCGCATATAAACTCCTGAACTCAGCTGAGGAAAGAAAATATATATTTCTCCAATATTGTTTTTCAGTTGATTCAAGAGCTCCATCCGCTGACCAGAATAAAGTAGAGTGAGGGGAGGAAATTACCGCGCGCCTCGGAATTATACTTGTTGTTTAGGTATTCGGCCCGATGCTCAGGAGATGGGTCTGATTTTGGCGAGGCCGAAATTGACTATATTTTGATTGGATTTTGCAAGGACCAAATTCCGGTTGTTCACAATCCGGAGGAGGTGAATATTTATACGTCGACACGGAAAAAATATGCAAACACAAAATGAAAATTCTGAGAAATTTTTTGTTGGTTTGTGGACACTCCTATTTTTAATTAGTGAGGAAATTCCTCCGAAACTTGAACGATGCGTTTTTTAGGTTGAGGAAACTCGTTGGGTATCAGATCTTCGAGAGCTTCGACGATTGCCTCGTTCGCATCACTATGTTTTCACGCCGTGGTTTGAGCTCCTGGCAAAAGATGAGGAATGTCTGGAACTGTGGTGGCCAACGATCAAGAAGACTGGCGACTTGGGACGAATCACGGATATGGGAAGTATTAGAGCCTTTGATTGATCTGAATTTGATGCTTGTTTCGGAGGGATGCCTAGGTTGCGATAAGTGAGTGAATTAATAGAGTTTAAAGTGAAGTGGCGTAACGTGAGAAGAAATTAGCTTTTTGAAGTATGTTCTTGTACAGACTCAGTTGAATTCGTGTGTGAAATCTTGTATGAATAGTGAGGAAACGGCTGAGCTCAGTTGAGGACAGCAAACGTATATTCCTGTAATACAGGATGTTGTATCGCCATTTTCGAGGTGCTGTGTACCCCGGACTTATATTCAGTAGTTAATATTCTATGGAATTTTACGTGAAGTGGCGTAAAACTCGGTGAAAAACGCGATATTCGCGGTGATATGCAGGTGATAGTAGTGAAATATATTTTTCACTAGTGCTTTTCATATCACTAGGGTGGTGCAACTCCATTATACTTGGAATTTCTCAGTGGTAAAACTGAGCGTGTGGCATCGTCAGCTTTGAAAAGTATATTTATTTCCTAGTTTTTCACTTCCCTTTAATGAGGCCGCCACCACCAGCAGCTGCTGCTGGTGGCAGACGAATAAGAGCACTGAATGTGGCGGAGAAAAATTCTGTGGCGCGCGAAATGTGCAGAGTGCTAGGAGGTGGGGTGATTCCGAATGGGAACCCACCAGTAGGAGAGTTCCCTTACCGACTACTTGGCAATGTTGATGTAGTAAAATTTGGGCTGGGCGGGCGCGATATGTCGGAGGTTGCACATGTACACATATTGGAGTTTCACCGTGAAGTGGTGTGATACTCAATGTGAAAAACGCGATACGAAGTGAATTGAAAACACTTATATTGGACAAGTCGCCTCATATCACGTAAAACACTGCTCACATGCGTTTTTCGCGAAATGCAATGTGAAATGTGTTTTTTCATGTTACGGGTGAAATTTCTAAATTTTTCTTCTGAGAATATTTCTAATTATGATCGAACTAATCATAGAGGTTAGTGATGCTCAGATCATTACGCGAGTAGGCGAAGTGTTGTTATTAGTAGTTGCTAGTGTGATCAGGTAATGATGGTAGTAACGGCAGTTCGGGGGCATCTAATGGGACTTGATTTCGAGCAGGAATATCGAGGCCGTTGGGACACGGTTGATCCGGAGACGCTCTATAACGCACCTCTCGTCAAGTAGTGTTGATAAGCAATTTATGGAGTTCCACTAGTTTTACGTGAAGTGGCGTAAAACTCGATGTATGTTTCCGCGACCGATGATACAATTGTTTTCCGCAAAGTGAATTGTGAAATATGTTTTTCATTAGTGTTTTTCGTATCACGGGTGAATCGCGAACGAATATGGATATTACAGCGCTATGTAGATGGCACTACACAGCGGAGCTTCGCCCGTTTAACATGAATTGATGTAATACTCCATGTGAAAAACGCGATATGAAGTACTTGTCGAATTACACCGAATATATCACACAATTTTTCGTGTGACGTGTTTCACGCGTTATTCACTGCTTATATGCATTTTTGAGGAACGAATTGTGAAATATGTGTTTACTGGTGTTTTTTATATCTCGGGTGAAACTAAGATATCATATAATTATCAAATATATGAGTATATTTGTAATATATATATACCATAAGCCGGCCAGATTTCGGGCATTTCTGGTGGTGTCGGAGTAGACGGTCGAGCTAGTAATGTAATTATAGTACTTTTCCTCTTGCTAGTGGTAGATCATTTTGATATAAAGGGTAATGGACTTACGGAGATTCGAACCGGGTACCTTTCGATGTATGGTCGAGCAGTCTAACCAATTCGACTATATTACATTGCACTTATGTATCGAGTAGTAGAATTATAGGTCAGTTGCTTCGGACATGGGCCCAGTAGCTGGTAACTTGAGGAGGTTGGCCCGGACGTGCGATTGGCTCGTGTTGTGGTTGGATTGTGATAGAGAAGGAGAGGCGATTGCTTATGAGGTTATTGAAATAGCGAGAGAGGTAGTAGTTGGATTAGCAACGATTAAATGGGCGAAAAACTCCGTAATCGTCTGGTCTTACGTAGTGTGAATTCTCGTTGATTTCTGTACACTTCTACCCGAATTTGTATGATTAACAAAAATTTTCCCAGAATTTTCTCAGGATTCTCATATTGTGTCCAACACATGTAGTTGATCATGTGCATATTCTCCCAAACTGCGGATGAAATGTCAGTACCCACATTTCTCTTCATATCAGGCTAATGCGAGGCTGAACGTTTATCGGGCGAATTTTTCCGCCCTCACACACGCTGATCTCACACGAGCCTGTTTGAATCTAGCGCGGCCGAATCCGCATCTGGCTGCTGCAGTGGATGCTCGGCAAGAAATAGATTTACGAATAGGTGATAAAGCGGGGCCCTGGGATTGAGCCTCTGCGGGTTTTTGGATATCGAATATAGAAGATCCCTCTTGCGCCCAGTGTTGGAATATATATTCGCTTTCCTTAGCTGAGGTTGGGAATTTTATCACTCATCACAGACGCTGGTACAAGAATCCGGGTAGAAATATACAGGGATCAACGGTAAACTCATGAAATGTCATCTTAGAATTTTCATATTATCACCAACATATGTGGTTGTCCATATGCGTACTCTCCCACACGTCATCATGAATATATTTTCTAAGTAAAGTGAAGCGGTTAAATGCGATACCACATTTTCCGTAGATCTCGTAAACTTTTACTCAGTGTTGGAATATAGGATCGCTTTCCTCAGCCGAAACCAGAAATTTCCACGAATGCCACCTACACATGTAGTTGACCATGTGCATATTTTCCCATACTGCTTTTACTACTCGATCTGACAATAAGCTCACTAATCTCAGGAGCGTCATTTACGCGGTTTCTCACTTTGCGTTATAAAAGGAGATTGCCTTTGCTCGAGGGCATACTTTCTTATGGGCCCTGTCAATTTCCAACTCTGGGGTTCGTCGTGCAACGCTGGCTACTGCAGAGGAATTTCATCAGGGAACCTTTTTGGACGATCAAGTGTACGGTGAGTGCGGTGGTCTGCGATAGTGATGGTAGAATATAAGTTTGCTTTCCGAGGCTGAGCTCAGAGGTTTCGTCACTAAATTTTGGGAGGATGTATAGGAATTAGGATAGCAGTTCACAGAAATCAAGGAGAATTTCACAAATTTTTCCCCAAAATTTTTGTGTAATTTTACAGATCTTGGCGAGTTTCGGGTATTTTTTTCGTATCATCTGAAAATACACTGTTTGAGTATTCGTGAATTGATCGAAGATTGGTCCGTTGAAACTCCCTGTACGTGGTTACAACAGATATCAGTGCCCTTGAGACCTATAGCTGATGATCATGAACAAGGGCTCATTAAAAGTGACCCGGAAGGCGGCCCCATGGTTGAAGTGAAACTCCTTTGGGGACGGCATCGATTATTCGATCATCTCGCTACTACTTTACTCTACGATAGATGTTTACAACATGTTCGAGAGGTAGGGCTTGTTTTGGGCCTACTTTGAATCTTTGTTTGAGTGCATATGGATATTAATATAGATCCTATTGTGTGCGCTGTGCCGCGACAGTGATGATCAGAGTAAGATCTGTTCGCGATCATTCTCCCCTCGGATTTCGCCGACGCATATTATTACGTATATATATACGATAAACATACTTATATTACTACATGTGCATATTCATATTGGGCATATTTCGAATCTTTGTATAGGTGTATATAGGTCTTATTATTCGCCTTATGCTGCTATAAAGATGATCGGAAAATTTTCAAGATGTTCTTGATCATTTTCAAACCTGCTTTTGACGCCGTACGCCCGACAGCAGGTTAACGAATATTTAATAATAATCTATGTTTATGGTATGATGTGTGAAAATAAATATCTTCGTAAATACGAGAGCATTCTCGAAAATCTATGAGATCATATCCCAACGAAAATTTCCTTATCGATTTTTTCTACGCCGATTACGGTATAGTTATATTCATTGTAACTGTATGTTTATATTAACAGACTGAACACCATCCTTTTTTGAATGATAATTTCGTGTTTCAACGATTTACTAATAATGGAGTTTCAACCGTTTAACGTGAAGTTGCATAATACTCGATGTGAATTTAAGAGGTGTATGGCTTCGCGACCGATCACACACTTGTTTTTCGCGAAGTGAATATTGTGAAATATGTTTTTCACTAGTGTTCTTCATATCACGTGTGAAACTCCAACGTTTAATGGAGTTTCACAACCCGTTTTACGTGAAGTGACGTCGTAAAACTCGGTGAAAAACGCGATATTCGTGGTGATATTCAGTAGTTGTCGGGTATGTATTTCACTAGTGTTTTTCACATCACTAGGGTGGTTAAAGTCCAATATTTAATGATGTATTGAACTCCGTGTTTGTATGATTTTCAGTCCGGTGGTGGTGTTGTGACACACGTGTCACATAATCCGAAGTCTCGTTGGAGACCGCTCCCTTTGAGTACGGTTGAGTTCGCAAAGTTGGCGTCGAGTAAATTGAGGATAGACTCGCGTCAAGCGATGAGGATTGCGGAGGAATTGTGAGTTTTCGGGAAATTTTAGGTTCTTTCTCGATTTTTGCCATGTTTACCATTTTTACCATTTTTACCAATTTTTCCAATTTTCCCCAAGTTTTCCTCAACTTTTCCATTTTTTTCCAAATTTTTCTTAATTTTTTCCCCAATTTTCCCAAATTTTTTCCAATTTTTCCCGCAGAGCCATACCTATTGGTCGAGCTGTGCAAATACTTCCTCAGAAATCGTCAAATATTTCCGAATTTCATCAGAATTTTCGTATTGTCACTAACACATGTGCATATTTTTCCTGAGAGACCCTCGGTAGATCCACGAGACACTTAGGAATAAGAGTGGTATGTGATGATAAGAAAAAAATTTGTCATTTTCTGATTTTTATGGAGTTGAGTATTGCACGTGTGTGAGCGTTGATTGCTACTGATCGCGAATATAATAGGTGTATTATATTGGAGTTTCACAACCCGTTTTACGTGAAGTGGCGGAATGCTGTATGAAAAACGCGATATTCGCGGTGATATGCAGTACTCGTGAAATATGTTTTCGTGAAACTCCATTGTATCCCCTGGACAGAAGCTGATACATTTAATAACAAGTTATAGGTATAGAATTAGGGATAAGGATGTGGAAATGGAAGCCCAATTTTCAAGGAGGGTACAGCTTAATGCTTTTGAAAAACTTGAATATTAGTGTGCTATAAATTGCACATGTGTTGATGAAAATGTGAAAATTCTGAGGAAATTGTGGAAAATTCGTGATGGTTTCTGTACACCTATAAGCAGTGCTGCAAAAAAATGTTCGCCTTCCTCAGCTGAGCTCAATATTTTCCTCACAAATCAAAGAAGTTTATATACGAATTGGGAGAATATATACGATTAATGTACAGAAAGTAACAAGGATTTTCCAAAATCTCCTCAGAGTTTTCATTTTGTCACCAACACACGTGGTTGACTTGTGCCTATGTATGCAATCCAATACGGCCTTGTTACAGATAGCAAGACTTGATTATTCACCAATAACTCATGAGTAACGAATGGGATGGTATAGCTTAGCTGATATCTTAGCTGATACAGATGGGGACAACGGAGACACAAATGTGATGGACTGCATACCGCAACAGTCTCAACTGACAACAGTTAACGTATTATGTTCCCATATCAGCACAGACCATGGGCAACTTTTACCACACTGTTATAACTCCTGAGCTCAGCTGATGCGAGTGGACATATATTGCAATACTGTTGTCCATGTGTAATTGACTCGGTGTAGGTATAATCGGGGTATTATATCGTATCCGAGAACGGAGACTGATAGATTCAACCCTAATATAGATCTGCTAGAATTGGTTCGTT